GCACATAGGATTTAACATAGTCGCCGATTCGAGCACATCGGCTATACATGTAAATCCCTATGTTCTCGAATCGGCGATGTTTTTTACGTGTAAATTTCCTATGTTCTCGAATCGGCTATGATTTTACATGTATATATAATTGAATAAAAATATACGAAAGAGAGAAAAGAAATGAAACAAAACAAAATATCAGCTGGTGTGTTGGACGAAAGACGGGAGACGGAAGAAGAAGAAAGAAAGAAAAGAAGAGAAGAGAAAAAAGGTCTGTATACTACACAGAGATTTGCCTTTCTCTCTCTCTCTGTGTGTGCTATGTTATAGTGTGCGCGTACATCTCTGTCTTTTCTCTGTGTGTTTATCATCTGTCTATTGAGTTATGCATTTTTATGATTTCAAACGAATGTTATATTCTTTATTGAAACGAAAAAAAAAAGAATACAAATCATTTAAATTCGAAACTTATTAAATATCATCTAAACAATCAATTATGTATTCGAATGTTTCCACTTGGAGTTGATTTCCGATTATCTGGCTTTGGGCTGCATTATATATCATGTAGATGACGTCTCCGGGGAACAGCTTTATCGAATCATCAGCAAACTCTGCACCATTAACGAAAACGCCATATTCCGAATTGTCGATTAGGTTAGCGTTGTATACATCTATAACGATCTGTGCATGATTGTTGGAGGCCAAGTTTGAATTGAGTTGAAAATCTGATCCAGCTGCTCTTCCGAATGTTGTTACTCCATTTCTTAATGGGGTAACTTGATGCGCACCGTTGTAGTTGATACGTATTAAATACCATCTGCTTAAGTTATTCATTTTTCTTTCTCGTTGAAAATTTATTAAACCGATTGGTAGACGATCTGGTCACAAACTAAATAAGAGTGCAAACTACAAAATGAAAAGATCATCGATGCAGTCGTTTTTCACATCCCTCTATATGAAGGCTCTCTTTCTTTTCTTCCTATGTAAGCATTAGAATTCGAGAACTTGTGTCTCTTTTCTTTAAAATTCACATTGTATTTGTGAATCACTTGTTTTGATTATTTAAAGGAATGGGATTTAAAGAAATTCGATTTAGTCTCGAGTTAGTTGTTGTTACTTCACTATGAATGGTTACTTTGAAATAAAGCGTTATAAGTTTGAAGATTATATCAAGTGGTTAAACAAAAATCTATCAAAACATGAATGTGACCATGATGTAGCTTTTTCACGTGAATGGGCAGCAAAATTACGGCGAAATATATCGCGGGAATCAAATGAACGTGAGATTGATCCAATTATAAAATCTACGATCTTAGAAATTGCCATTGTTTTGAATAAACGTCTCTCTATTTTGAGTGTGAAAAATTTCATTAAATTATTAAAGAAAAATCAGGAGAGTATTTGTCGAGATCAATATTATAGTGAAATGGAATTCGGTATCATCACAGCTGATTTGATGAGTGCATATTGTCGCTGCAAATTCTACGATTGAAAATACACATATAAACTGAAAAAAGTATTGACTGAGAACGTCTGAATATGTAAACGCTTAAAAATAATTTGTGTCATAATGAGTGGGTTTTCATACTTTGAAATTCGACGTTACAAAATTAGTGAATTGTTTGTGTCGCTGGATAAAGCCGTGGGAACTTATTGTTGTGGAAAAAAAGAGTTTGAAGCCGAATCATGGGGAATTAAATTAAATCATCAAATAATTCATTTTTCTTGTAAAGTACCGACTCAACTAATGTTGTATCTGAAACCGACGCTTGAACGAATTGTCAGCGTATTATTAGATGGTGTGTGGGATAGTACAGTACAGACTTGTCCAATTGCATCGATTTATTTAAGCGACATCAAGAATATATTGGTGTGCAGGAGTATTATAGTGAATTGGAATTGGGCTTTGTGAGGCACCATTTATTAAAGACGCTCTGCGACATTTATCCAATACATCTTATCGAGAACGACTGGAAGATAGAGTGAACAAAGAAATTAAAAACGCTTAAAAATAATTTGCAACATAATGAGTGGTTATTCATACTTTGAAATTCGACGTTATAAATTTATTGAATTTTTTATGTTGCTGGATAAAATCGAAAAAACTTATTGTTGTGCTAATAAATTGGTTCATGCTGAAACGTGGAGTAGAAAATTAATGAGTCAAGTAAAATTATATTGTAATCGTGAACCGACTGAACTAATGTTGTATATGAGATCGACGCTTGAACGAATTGCTCATGTGTTGGAGGATGAAAATGCATATATAAGATTGGACACCTGTTGCATTTTAATGAGAGAACATGCAGATTATATTAGTGATAGAGAATATTATAGTGAATTTGAATTTGGCTTCATGAGACAATATTTATTGGAAGCACTCTGCGATTGTCCACCGTCACGTTGCCATCGTCGTTGTACAAAGGACGGTTAACAACTGAAAAGCGTAAACAAAGAAAAAGGGCGGAGCAATTAAAAGCACAAATGTAAGTTCTTCTATGCTTTGGAAAAAACATGTAATTCAGTTGTATTTTTGATTTCAACTAAAGCAGTTCAAAATTCTTCAAGCATCATGAGCAATAACGCGAATAGAGCAGTTAAAAGACAAAAAATGGAAATATAACATGACTCGACGTGAATTTGATAATTACTGGGAAACACCAATATTTAGATTTAAAGAATTTATTAAGGATTTAAAAAAAGAACTGAAAAATCAATTTTGTTGTGGCACGAAAGACGTTACTCGAAAGAATGGGCAGACTCCATAAGAAGGAAAATGAGAGAAGAAAAATATGAAAAATCTGATTCGACGATGAGAATATACATAACATGCATGCGCATGCTTACTGCATTTGACGAAATGGAGGGAAAAACAAACTTGCGCGATCTTATCAAACGATTAACGCGGCAGGAGCGCTACATCAATTGTGGCCTATATACCAGAGTGGATATAGGCCTGCTGAATTGCATCATACTGGACCAACTATGCAAATGTGCACCGGAACATCCAGCGGGTAAAGGATTATATCCACGTTAAAGAGATTAAAAAATCATTTTAGTTAAGCATAGAGTATAGTTGAAAAATTGTTTGAATAAAAACAAATGGGTGTAATTTCAAGGTGTAATGGATTCAAAAAAATAAAAGGCTTAAAATCAAAAAAGAAAAAAAAAACTGTGTGTTTTCATTTTGTTTTTCATTTTACAGCGTCGGATCAATTTAATTTAGCTAGAACAACAAAAAAAAGGTAAACAAAACAACTCTCTCTTTCCCAATAGCCGCTATCTATTTTGTTTTCAAAATAGATAGACTGCAGCTGCTGCTTTATTCTGTTATATGGCACGCGACAGTATTCTTCTCTGTATTCTTCTATGCGTCACATGAATAATGATCACTCTCTCTCTCTCCTCTCTGTATATTGATTGAACGAACGATGGAATGAAAGTGAAAACGGAAGATAGAAAAATTGAGTACAGGTACGGTAGACGATAAAGGCAGGTGCGTTACACGCTAGACTCTATGGCGTATACATTAGGATTTATATTGAATGAACGACAAAACTGAAAGAAAGAACTGAAAGAAAAAGGTTCGAAGCGCAAAATGAAAAAGCACAACTGTTTTGTTTTTCAGAGAAATCTTTATTTGCTGAAATGTATATGTTTACATAAATTTCTATAAAGACGATTATTTTTATCTGAAAACATTATTTTATTGAAAGAAAAAAAATTTCGAATTTGAAAATGAATAAAAAAAAAACCAACACCAATTTTTTTTTTATTGTAAAATCAGAAAAAAAGTTTCAATTAAAATTCATTTAAAAATAGTTCAGTCAGGATTTAACTCTGATTCTCAATCGGTGGTGATGCAACCGCAATGTTACTCTGGCTCTCAACGGGCGGTGATGCAACCGCAGCTACTTGCTCATCATTGACCTCCTGCTCCGATTTAATTTTGATGTTCCAAGCTCTGAAATGAATATAATTACAAAAATGTATAAGTCGATAGAAAAGAAAAAAAAATCAATCAATAGAAAAGATTGTTGTAATTATATGCATTTACCTGCTTTGCGGGCGCTTGCCTCCAAAAAACAGAAATTTCTTTATTCCATCCGTATTAAGCTCGTTCACCTTTTCATCGCTGTCATCAAACTTTGTGGCAAAATACTCTGGTAAAAAGAGCACTTGATTTTTTAGCTCAACCAATAGCACTCTTTTTAATCCAGGTTTTTCTGCTTCCGGCTTGTATTGTTTATTTTTCACCAAACGAAACCAAACAATCTCATGATTACCCTCTGGTAATTTCGAAAACCCAAAGTATGGTTTGCTATTCATGAAATTTAACTTTTTAAAAGCAGCACACATATTTAAGCTTTTTTCACAAATTTTCACTTTACAGAAGAAAAAAATAAAATCAAACTGTTTTGACCGATAGTCGAATTTGAAATGAAATTATTTTTTCTTTCTCAAGTTAATCCACATCAATGCGATCAAGAAATAAATGCATGAGCGGAGGGGGAAAAGGAGAAAATCCGCACAATACATACAAGCCACATATATTGTTTAGAAAAAAATGTAAACAAATATCGATGCGCAATAGTGCCGTTGTCAATATGATATTTAAGAGAATGCATTCAGATTGTCTAATTGGAAAAAAGCGCAGATGTTCTTTATATGAATGAACCATGCTCTCTCTCTCTTAAGTGCATCCAGTCGATTCCAACTCAAATCAATATGTATGAGTGCAGATGTTGAATGGACAAATGGAAATTCCGCTGTATTTTAATGATTCTAACGAGAAAATGCGTATTTTTTTTTTAATTTATGCAAATTACTGCAACATAACTGTTTTCTATTTTCTGCTTTTTATTATGAATTCGAGTGATAACTGAGAAAGAAAAAAGAACGCTCATTCATGAGATCGATTCAGTCTAAAAGAAACACTTGAGCTGATTTGAAGCGATCGTCAAAACAATAACAAAAAAAACAAACAACAAGCAACAAAAAGCTTAAAAATGGAAAACGCTAACGAACTTGTGGAATTGGAGGTGTGTGAGAGTGCATTCAATAGGCGATTGCACACATTTAATATCGTGAATAAAGTGACACGTGTTGATATTAAAGGATTTTTATGGGATGCGTTTCCCATTTATAAACTTGAAATATCGAGCACTCATGAATTGCATAACATGGTGAAATCATCGACAACTCTCGTAGCTGAATTCGAAAAGAAAATACTGAAAGCGAGTGAAATTAACGCGTCAGGTCCTAGTACTAATGCAAGTGAAAGTGATACAGTTGAGGAGACAATAGTGCAGACATTGTATTTTACATCGCGGACTACGAAGATTGGTTTGAATGTGGATTGGAAACGACATTATAAACATAATGTGATTGAAGAGCTAAAAGAAAGCGTTGAAAATGCAGCAATCGAAGGTTCTGGATTTAAACTACGAAACCTTATTAAATTGAATGTTCAAGTTTCCTCATTCAGACCACTACTCGGCGGATCATTTATCGAAGCTCCTATTAAATTGAAGAAAAGAGGAGCAATTATCAACGTTAAAAATGAAAATGATAATATGTGCTTCAAATGGGCTATTTTATCTTGCCTTCATAATAATAAAATACAAAAGAATGCAAATCGACTCTGTCTTTATAAACGATATGAAAATGATCTAAATTTCGATGGTATTGATTTTCCAGTTAGTTTAAAAGACATTGATAAATTTGAGAAGCAGAATGAGAATATATCCATTAATGTGTACTTTTATGATAATGACTCAGATCTAGTATCTACACTGCGAGTGAGCGACGATATAAAAGAGAAACATATTCACTTGCTTATGTTAACTGCTAGCAATCGTGTTAATACTGATGGTGCTATGTCAACTGCAGGAAAAGTTAAAATGATGCTTGAAAGTGATCAAGTTCAAACTCATTATTGCTGGATTAAGAGTTTAAGTCGATTAATTGACCATCAACTAACTGATCATGGACATAAGTATCACATTTGTGATCGGTGTTTAAATTACTTTGAAAGAGCGGAGATTTTAATTAAACACTATAAAAAATGCCGGAATGAGTGTAAAATTGAAATGCCTAAAAAAGATGAAAATAAAATAGAATTTGAAAATTATAAAAATCAATTAAAAGCTCCATTCATAATTTATGCTGATACTGAGGCATATCTCAAGCCGCTCGACGAAGAAGAAAGAAAACGCGTATTCAGCGAGCAGTGTTCAACGATCGCATATCAAGAGCATAAAGTTTATAGTGTTGCATACTATTTCAAGTGTGAATATGATGACTCATTATCATACTATAGAAGCAGTGGAGCCAAATCCGATTGCATTGAGTGGTTTATCGAAGAACTAAGTTACATCTCAAACTTTGTTGAAAAGCAGCTAAAAAAAAATGTGCCAATGAAATGGGAAGATTGGGATGACGACTTTGTGTTTCAGAATAATAATCATTGTTCAATATGTACATTGGAATTTGAGCCAGACGATACGCGGGTCCGTGATCATTGTCATTTCACGGGGAAATTTCGAGGGCCAGCTCACGTTAGCTGCAATTTAAATTATCAAGAGAGTCGGGAAATTCCGATTATCATGCATAATTTATCTGGGTATGATGCTCATTTATTTATCAAGCAGCTGGCAACGCAAATGGAAGGCGATGTAAACATTATACCAAGTAATTCGGAGCAATACATTTCGTTTACAAAAATCGTCAACGACAGTATTCATCATCCATCAGAACATAAAGACAAAATCAAATTGAAATTCTTGGACAGCTGCCGTTTCATGCCTGCGGGTTTAGCTGAACTGGCTTCGTTGATTCCAACTGAAGAAAAGCGTATATTATATAAGGAATTTGAAAGAAAATATTCATCGGAACTGTTGCACATGCTTGAACGTAAAGGCGTTTTTCCATATGATTATGTGGATAGTTTGGATCGATTGAGAGAAACTGCTCTACCGTCAAAAGAGCAGTTTTATAGCAAGCTTTACGAAGAAGACATTGAAGATGATGAATATGAGTTTGCGCAACAGATTTGGGAAAAATTCGGAATAAAATCGCTTGGAGAATATGCTGAATTATATTTAAAGACTGATGTACTGCTGCTGGCCGATGTTTTCGAAAACTTTCGGGAAACGTGTCATAAAATTTACAATCTTGATCCAGCGCACTATTACACAGCACCTGGACTCTCATGGGATGCCATGTTAAAATACACAGACGTTGTAATTGAACTTATCACCGATGTCGACATGCTGCTTTTTGTTGAGCGTGGAATTCGAGGAGGAATAACCCAATGCAACAAACGGTATGTCGAAGCAAATAATAAATACATGAGGGAAGGCTACGATCCCAATAAGAAGACCAACTACCTAATGTATTTAGACGGTGAGTTTATTCATTGAATATTTATTATTTTTCATCAAGTTACTTATCAAATGATTTTTTTTCTTCTCTTCAATACAGCAAATAATCTATATGGACATGCGATGTGTCAGCCGCTACCGATTAGTGATTATAAATGGGCCGACTTTGACTTGAGCAATGTTGACAATATGGTGGAGATTATAAAAAATTTATCTGAGGATTCGGATACTGGATATATATTTGAGGTCGACTTAGACTATCCGGAGCATCTTCACGCTGACCATAATGACTTTCCATTCTGTGCTGAAAGAACTAAGCTACCACAGCAGGCATTTGATATTCTAAAAGATAAGGCAAGCAAATATCCCAAGCTATTGCTCACGCTTAATCATAAGAAAAATTATGTTATACACTATGAAATGCTCAAGTTAGCACTGCGTCATGGGCTTGTATTAAAAAAAGTTCATCGTGTATTGCAATTTAAACCGAGTCGTTGGTTAAAGTCATATATCGATTTAAATACTGAACATAGAAAAAAGGCAAAAAATGAATTTGAAAAATCGTTCTATAAATTGTTAAATAACGCCATCTTTGGTAAAACGATGGAAAATGTGAGATCGCGCGTAGATATTAGACTAGCAAATAAGTGGGGTAATAAAACTGGTGCTCGAATGTTGATTTCACAGCCAAACTTCAAAAAATTTACCATTTTTGATGAAGAATTGGTTGCAATTGAACTACACAAAACATGTATTAAAATGAATAAGCCGATCGCTATAGGCATGTGTATATTAGACATATCTAAGATTACAATGTATTCATTCCTTTACGATTATTTAAAACCGAAATATGGAAATAAGTGCGTAATCTGCTATACCGACACTGACGCTTTTATCATAGACGTGGAGACTGAAGATTTTTACAGAGACATGCGTGGAAATTATGAAAAGTTTGACACGTCCGATTATCCATGGCCGAATGAATATAACATTGAGTTAAAGAATAAAAAGATTCCAGGCCTATTTAAAGATGAGTTAAATGGGAGAATTATGAAATATCTTGCTGCCATTCGAGCAAAAAGCTATGCTGCATGTTTGCTAGATAAAAAAGCGTTTAGTAAAAAAGATGAAAAAAAAGCACTTGAGAGCCGAAAGAGAAAACTCGCACCATGTGGTAGATATTATAATGTAGATTTAAAAAAATCAAAAGGAGTTAAAAAGAATGTTGTAAAGAACAAGATCACATTTGAAGATTATGTTCAATGCGTGCTAAACAAACGTCAACTCAAAACAAAGCAGAATAACATTCGATCTATTAGACATGATGTATTTACCACTATGCAGGAGAAAGTCGCTCTTAATCCAATTGACGAAAAGCGATATATTATGGAAGATGGGATTAACACATTAGCTTGGGGGAATGCTGACATAAATTCTATTAATGAACACCCGATGTATCAATAAATCATAGTTATTAAAAAAATCGAATAATAAAATAAAAACAAGAATTATTTTTAATTGAAAAAATGTGTTTTATTTATTTAATATCATCTCGAATCTTCATCAATATTTTGCCCAGCATGTTGAATCCAGCCTTTTTATGCAAAGTGCATCCGCATACGCCCCAAAAGAGATCGTGCATGTAGTCTTGATTAATTAGTTGTTTATCGCCGGTTTGTATCAGTAATTCTCTCAAATCTTCATTACGAAATTTCAAATATAGCGTCTGCGTCATCACTCGAACTTGGTCTACATCCCAATGATGTTGTTAAAAGAAAGAGAACAGTGAATACTTCAATAAAGATATGAA